AATTTAACATTTATGAAACTTTAGGATGTAACATTAGCTTAATAAATTGAACATGGCAAATTTTTGAACTTGAACGACAACACATTGCTTCGTATATGAAAAATATCGTGAAGTGCAGGTCCTACATTGAAAAAGCTACTACAGGTTCAAATTTGGTACGAATAAACAACAAAAAACTATACAATTTTTAAGTTGGCAAATTTCTAAAATGGAAAAAATCGCTTAGATCACAAATACGCAGTATGCATTCAGTTTGGAATTTGAATAACGCCGTAGTAGTTAAGTAGATCTTCATCGTATGATTTTTTGTGAGTCTCGCAGTGTTTTTGTCTACGATTTCCTAGCAGTTTCAATGAGATTCCAATTTATCCTTGTACAAAGATACCAAATATGTTCTCAGCTATTAGTTTATATTACTATACACGGTACAATAGCTCGGTTGGAAATACAATTTTTTAATACTATGCCTACATTATAATTGTCTATGCTTCCTACAAAGATCGCTGAAGATTTCAATTAATCACAAACAAAGAGATAATTACGTATACTCCCTTATACTCTGTCCGAAGTTGTAATATTTACTTCAATGGGTACGACATAATATCCGGAATTAAAAATATTTTATGAATGCCACATCATATATGTCGGAGCTTCCAAATAATAAAGCTACAACGAAAAACAAATACAGTACGAACATTGATCTTGCCCGATGTATTGTGCAAATACATTTTTTTTTGTCCTAGAATGCTAGGCACGAGCCTGGGATTGTTTATCACATTACTTCAGGCTAGACCTAGGGGTTGCGGAATTATCACATTGATAAAATCCATTGGTGATTTGGCGGATTTGAATCCGTGATCTCGAGGACCGAAGTCCCGCGCTCTAACCCTTAGACCAGCTCGCTCCCCAACATTGTATTGTGCAAATACAATGACCGTCTGAAATATGTTCTGTGAAAGGAATGTTTGTAATATAACCAGCTGGGTATCTAAAGTGGTTATATTGAGCATAGTAATTATTTTTAAGGGTTCCAAAATCCTAGCTATCCATCAACAATGGACTTTTAATAAATTGATGACGATAAGAAATAGCTGATTTTAGTCAAAAACTCTTCTGTCCATCCTTTCTTTCAACGTCGTTCACTATCTTCTTTCCCCTGGCACGTGGAATCAAAATTTTACTAGAAAAAAAAAACACAGCTGAACAGCTGATATTAGTAACTTAGTTACACCATAGATAAAACATACTCCCTTTTGTTGGTTAGTCTATGGTTACACAGACTAATTTACGTTCTACACTCATTTAGCGTTCACATTTAGCTTCAAATACCCACCTAGGTGACGTTACTGTTTAAAAAGTAACGCAAATAATACTAAATGTTTGTGAATGCAACATTATGTCATTTTTCAAAATCCTCAATGGCTTCACGTAATTGTACAACAACAAAAATGTTGATAAAAAATCTGAAGCACACTTGAAAACGATACGCCTCCTCAAGGACGTGGACGGTTTTTACAGGCTAAAGAAACTCTGGAAGCCAAAGGACGAGGGGTGCAAAAAGCAACAAAAGGAAAGTTTGGGTTCGAGCATCTGCCCTTTGTACCTTTGTCGCCGGTTTGACAATGAGGCGGGTTGCGGCGAGTTAACACTCCAGCGATTGCATTATCCTCTTCAGATCCTTCAGGACAGAAGACGGAAGATTGATACCAAGTCAATATCCATGGTACAGATGTCAACGGCGCCAGGTGGCGGGACAATGGAAGGAGACGTTACGCTGGGGTCAAGTACTTAAGACTGTCCTCCAGAAGTATACAAAGTTGAAATAATGCAAACATGTTTTGGTAGATAAAACATGCTACGTTTATATCTTAAAATAACTGTTGATCATTGTTTTTAAGAGGTTGACGGCCACATTTAATGGATCACTATGTTTGAAAAGTTAAACTAAATAAAATATTAACTGAATAAAACAACTTTTCTTCGTCACCTAACATAGTTTTAAAACCTTTAATAGCCAGCTATGTCTCAATTACTGCTTATAAAGAGCTGTAGACGCCTTCGGATTATTGAGTAATCTAAGAAAAAAATGTAAATACCTGATTACAAACCATCCAAAGACGACGTAGCCAGTTTACTACACTGTATATAAAGAAAGTAGTGGTTTTGTCCACATTTTTAAGTTTAAGTTTAGGGCAGAAGTAACCGTTTTGGGTCTCTCTGAACCCAAAATAGTAGTGTGAACAAGGCTACAGACTACACAATGCGATGCACTCTTTACTTAGGTACTTTGGGGTTCTTTCTCTTCAAAGTGTTTTTCTAACTTTATAAAATTTTGATTTTATCAGTACCTATATCTCATTAAAATCGATGAATACGGATTCACAGGATTTTCACAAAAACGGATTCAACTATTTTGATCAACATTTAGTACATTATGGCCATTTTAACTGTAACGAAATAGTACAACCTCAATGCTGCAAGAAAAGGTAAAAATATTGCAATTTTTGTTCAATCCCACATAAAGAATCATAAATACTCCTACCGCTTTTCCATGATAAGTATTGTTGTCAAGATAATGGGAGAAACTATATGTCAGAATGCCAGTATTGTTTTTTATGAACAAGTTTTAAGCAAATGCGAAACTATTCTGCATTTTATCATCGAATACGATAGTTATTGCAATAAGTTGCTGTAAACTGTCAAATGATGTCTAGAATGAGTCTTCATGGATGTACTGTCAATGCAGCACTAGTAGGCATTTCCTGTCTGATAAAACATGAAGCTGGCTGGCGCCCTGCGAGTGATATACAGAGGAGGCTACATACCAACGACCATCTGGAGTTTCTGATAAGAAACATTCTACACATTGTTGCCATTTCGTTACCATGGTTGCCATAACTTGCTGCTGGAAATATTGGGACTTTTTTAATTTAAAAACTAATAAGTCTCCAATGGTATTCAATCGAGGAAATTTCTCCCCAATTATTACGTATACCTTCTTTTTCGACATTTCTTTTTCCACGTATAAAAAAATGCGGTGATTTTTCAGCAAAAAACATATATTTAAAAAAAAACTTGAATAAAATAGTACTGTATTAACTAACAAAATGTAGCTCTTTCTGTGCTTCCCAACGGACCAAAAAAACATCAAATAAGATGGTATTTAATTAAAGCTATTAACAATGTATAAACGAATTTTACTACAGACACTCTGCCACTGTTTGGGTAGCCTACTGAAGTAGACATCCCATCTGTATGGACCAGCTGTAGCTAAATTTTGTTATTAAAAACTAAGTCAATTGAGCCGTTCATAGAGTGGATTCGATATGTCCTTAAAACTTCGTGGATATAATAGGTTAGATAACGCAAAAGATGGTTTAATACAGTTGATTACATGACCTTTACATTGGCTTGGTTAAACATTTTGTGTGTCCAAAATAAATCAGAATTTTATGCCAGCACATTCAATTCTGCGTACATTTCTATTAAAAACTTCAAGAGAGAATTGAATGTCTGGTTAAATATCCATAATGAGCATAGATATAAATAATCAATGGATAGAGAAAAAAAATTGAATATAGAACTGTCAGCCATGCTGCGGTTACCATAGGTTCTGTCGCACACCACTGGGAGCGTAGTTACGGCGTACGCGCTACGTAACTACACGGCGCTCCCAGCGGTGTGCGGCAGAACCTATGGTAACCACAGCATGGCTGACTGTATAAATTTAGTTTTTTTTTACTATGGTCAAAGATTGTACCATTGATTTCTTATCCTCATAGAACAACCGTAGCCAATTTTATTGTTAGTTCTGGCCGGTGTACTAGAGGTCGGGTTTTGTTTACAATTTGTTTATTGTTATTTGTTATTAACGACTTAGCCTATCTAATATTTTTATTATTTTAAATATGATTTGTACTAAGTTCATGATTATTACAGTACATTCCCCTATTGTGATTTAAAGCAGTACTGTAGCCTACCGGCCTATCACGAGCATTAGCTTACAAAACCCTCTACCAGTAAGCTGTGATTTTAAACTTACACTTTGTAACCTGTACCAAGGTCAATGACTATAAATGTAAAAAATGTCATGATTGCGCAATATTAAAGACCCCTTCCCTTTAGTATCCCGGATAAACGAGGTTCTACTTTACAATGTAAACACTGAAACACTGTCAAGTATTGTAGCCTATGCTACTTTAATTGTGTTTTAATGAGGTCCAACCCCGACCTATATAGACTGGTGCTGGTTCTGAACCTCGACTTAGAGAAATTCCTGCAAACCTAACCTCTATATAACGAACCTCATTTTAACGAAATCCTTGGTATAACGAATACTCAGTTCGGTCCCTTCAGATTCGTTATACTGAGGTTGGACTGTATACACTTTTGTTGGTTTCAAAATGGCGTCCATATGAATTTTTATAGCTTAAATTACTGAAACATGTCTAATTACATGCAAAATTTCAAACTTTTATTTAGCATTCAATATTTCTATAACACAATACCAAGCTCAAAGAGATTGACTAAAGGAATAGCTGATACATCGCGATTAGCAGTCGTAAAATAAGGCTTTATGAGGTACAAAAAGACTATTTTGCCTCTTGTGTGCAGCTTTTTTATAAATGGAAACTTTTTCCCAGAAGGAAAGGCTACTGAGACATAACGAAAATGTGTTGATGGCACTGATGGAAGTTCTTCAAAAAAACTTTTTATTTATGGCACATCTAATGCTTAAGTGGAACATCTATGTCAACTCTTCAATTCTTAATTTTAAATTGATCAGCCTTGACCCCTTTAATATTTTTTATATCTAATAATTGGGATGATTTGTAATATCTCAAATTTTTGACACAAATCAATCTGCTTGTCAATCTTAGTATTACCTTTGACTATTAATACAACAACTTCTGTATCCAATAGTCAATGGTATTACATACAACTTTCCAACCATCGAATCTCAAATAGTATTAAATGCAAGAAGAATTATACTTACTTACTTTCCGTGTCCGGAAAAAAACACCAGCTCAGTTGGATATTATTTTTCCAATAATCTGCCACATATATGGCTTCGTCATTTGCCTCCTTAAGATCGAGCCAGGAGCATGTTCTGTACAAATCTGGACAAACTAGTAGATGTTCATGGTCCTGAGGGGCCCCACATGTGCAGTTTGGTTCTCCTTCATAGTACCCCCACCTCATGAGGTTTACTTTGCACCTCGAGACCCCACTTCGCAATCTATTTAGGGTCCTCCATGTGGGGTAAGGCAGGTGACAGCCTGCAGGGAGTTCCTCTCTGAGTTCTACTGGTGGCTGTTGAGCCTCCTGCCTCCATAGCTGAAGCCTTAATACTTCCGGTGTTACTGAATGTATCTCAGTGGTTTTGAGGAAACTCTTTCTTGACCGGAGTCTAGAGGGCTGCTGTTGATGCCCATATAGTGGATGACGGTGGTCGGTCACTTGCTTCTGTCGTTCTACTGCGGCTGCCACGTTTCTTCTTATATATGGTGGAGCTACCCCAATGAGAGGGTATATACTGTCCACTGGGGTTGGTTTTAAGCATCCTGACACGGCCCTTGCAGTTTCGTTGATGGCTATGTTTACCTGCTTTGCATGGACAGAGTTTCTCCATACGGTACACCAAGCAAGATAAATTATGATTGACATTTTTATGCGGCAATAAGTAAACAGTCCCTACCGTATAGAACGGGAAAGAGCTCATTCATACTCTGCATATCACACACTTTACATTATTGAGTCGAATGCGTGAAATTTCGGTAAATGATTCTTATTGATTGGAAGATGGATTTATTATATTTCACGATGGATTTTTAACGTCCCATACTTCGACAGGGTGAAAATTTTATTGATTTGTGGCCCCTTTGTCTCCTTAGAGAAAAGAGGCTCCAAAAATTCTGCACTACGTTATTCTACCGTAATACAGAGCTGTAAATGAGCTGTAGAGGGTGGGTAAACTTATATTCCGAAGCTTAAATCCTACCTAACCATGACTCAAGTGGTTGGGTTTCACACTATATAAAGGAAACAGAAACGAATAACCTTGCGAGAACGTTGTCTTCACAAATCCATAAAATTGTTTTTCCTGTTTGTTAAATTATATTCTTTTACCATTATATTAACACACATCAATTTCCAGAGTCATAATACGGAAAATATTTTAATTTTTGTATCTTTGTGGCCATGAGAGCATAATTTAAGTTAACACCCGTAGTGGTGTCGGTAATGTAGATGGTAATGGTGGTACTGGTAAATGTATGTAGTTGTATGTACATTCGCTAGATGTCTCGCATTATACTCGCTAATTATGATAATGAAGATCGTCCTTAACAATAAATCTTTAGATCGATTCTTTTTTATTTAAGTTAAATTTTTGATGGATTTTGGATGAGTTACATAATAAAACAAAAAAAGTTGTTTAAGAGATTCTTGTGGACAGTTTTTATCAAAATTACTTAAGAGATGGGTTTCCTCGTCATGGAATTTGTAATCTGATTTCGCGATCAGTTGAGAATTTACATAATATCGGCACACAAACCTAGTCAAAGCTGAAAAATCATAAAAAACTAGTCCAAACCATACACTAAAAATATCGAAAGAGAAATAATTAGTAGAAATGTAAAGGAGGAGCACAAATCTAATAAATTTGCTCAAGACATTTGTTTAGACGATGCAATTATTTTAGGACTGAAATGGTGCAGTTTCATTGGGAATAGGTTTTCTAAATATCCAATATAAGATATTCACAGCCTTGTATATTTTGTCTTGTAAGAGATCTCTAAATAGTATTAATATGACGGCAAGTTGAATATAAGATGGAATTATCGGAAGAAGAAGTATTTCCTTTTATCATTTGGATCTTTCAACATTGAATTCACTATCTGGGAAAAAAAGTTAGTACCTGGATGCTTGTTTGTAAGTGCAGGGGGTTTCAATGAGTATACGGGTGTCTAATTCCAACAATAGGGGTTAGCTTCAGAGGGTTAGACAGATCACATTTTATTACATATTTTATTTCAATATACAGATCTTCCTTGCCATGGCAATACACTGTATATTGCCATGGCAAGGAAGATCACATTATAATACCATAGTGAGGAAGATTTTGTTAACTATAATTTCCACAAAAAAACCTTCAATATTCATTCAAATTAGCTAAAATGTAAACACCATATTAGGGTTAGAAGCTAGGTTGATACAGCAACGGTTATAAAATCTTGCTTATTTCATATAATCAACAATCAACGAACCATAAAAATATTCTTCGGTCGCTTTTTACAATAATCTGTGTTGAAAATGGTAAACAAATCAATGTAAGGGAAGCAAGGAGAAAAATTCGAATTTCTTATTGTTTCCATGGAAACCTATCAATACAATATTGAACATGTTTAATTGAAGTTTATGTTTATGTTAATTTTTAACGATTAGGCTAAACATTGTTTAACGATTAACCAAGTTTGTCTACAAATTTGTAACTTCCCATTCTTTGATAGGGCGAAAATTTCATAGAATTATGGCCCCTTTGTCTCCTAAGAGAAAAGAGGCTCCAAAAATTCTGCACTACGTTATTCTGACGTAATACAGAAACTTTCAAACCAATTACCAGCACATTGATTGCAAGCGGGTGTTTCAAACTATATAAAGGAAACAGAAACGAGTAACTTAGCGAGAACGTTTTCTTCCCAAGTCTACAAAGCTGTTTTTCCTGTTTGTAAAAGTAAATTATTTTACAATTCTATTGACAAACACAAACTTTTAAGACGTCAAATTTTGAGATTTCTTATATTTGAATTTCTTTGACTGTCTACACATGATTTACACTAATGTCCTTTAGTGTGTCGGTAGTGTAGATGGTTGTGGTGCAGATATGTAGTTGTACATAACTTCGACAGATGTCTCTCATACACTTGCTAATTACGATAATGAAGATTGTCTGAAACAATTAATCTTTGAATAGATTTGTTGATTGTGTTATGTTTAAAATTTTCCTAGATCTTCGACAAACTATTGAATAAAAACAAACTATGCAAGAGATTCGAGTGGATAAAGGGATTCTCGTTTTAATATTTCAAATATCATTCCATTATCAGGTGAGAAATTATATAAGACATAACAAGATCATCAGTACACAAAGTCAAACTGTATAACCACTAAAGAAAATCACACATAAAACTAAATGTTACCCAAGACAAGAAAAACGAAAAAAAAATTGATCGAAAGAATAATTTGTAAAAATGGAAAGTTAAAGCACACACAAGGTGGCTAATAGGACAAATCCCTTATTTTCTGAAATGGAGCAAATTTAACGGGAATGTGAATCAATAAGATTTGGCAAACATCTAAAATATAATTCATAAACTTTTGATTCTGGATCCTCGTACCATTTTCCATTGGGCTAATTATTATTTATGCTATTTAAGAAGTTGTCGATGTTACATTGATGACGTGTAGTTGTAAGGGTTTTATACAGTCATATTACAAAAGAGTAAAAAATGTCAATGCTACAAAAAAAGAGTAAACAGTTCTTACAATAGCCTTATTATATTCGAGTAAATAAGTTTAATATAACTTTATTTTACACCTACACTTACACAAAAAAATATAATGTTTTGATGATTAGAGGTCTTTTAAGAGATGTAAAATCCACTAAGTATTATTAGTATTGCTTGTTGAATATACCACAAAATTATTGGGAATAAAAGAATTTCCAATAGGCATCTGCTCTTTCAACATAGAATTTGTTATCAGGGAAACAACAATAATTATAGTTATGGATCTTCTTGCATGGGCAGAAGGGTTTTAATAATCATACAGATCATTTATTCCAAGTAAAATTTACTTCCCCATAATACTTGGTCTTTGACTGGAAAGGTAGGTTCCCCTTCATAAATTTCCCGAAATGTTCCGGTGCAGTAGGCAGGTAACGGTCAGGCAGATCGCATTTTATTACCTTTGTAAGACAGATCATATTTTATTACCGTGGTAAGGTAGATCACATATTACGTGGTAAGGCAGATTATGTTTTAACACCCAACATAGTCGTCAGGAGGCAGCACCTTACAGAACGTAGTTCCAGCAGTGTCCAGAAGAATGCAGAAGGTCGTGTATTTCTGTGATGTTAACCAAAGTATTTATACCAAGTTTATAACATTCCCAATGACAATATCGTAGGTACACGTGAAAACAAAAATTTCCAAATCGTTGCGATAATTTAATAACTAACAATAACGGGGACGTGGAGATACTTTTTTCTTGATCGAATCATCCTGGTTCAAAAACCAGCTAATCTTAGTCAGTATGTTGTCATGTCATTCATTCAACTCATCTTTAACTGTGGTATGACGGAGTTGTATAAATAAAATATATTCTAAATATGTGTTGCCCTTACATTTTTTCCAAAGAACATATCAATTGGTTGTAATGATTTCCACTTCAAATGTTTTTTTTTCTTTGCAGTTAAGAAGACGAATTGTTTAAGCTGTACTGCTAAGAGAATTTAGAGGGTCTAATTTAATTCCTTGCAGAAAATTTAGTACAACTGAGAAGGCTACGAATATAATCGTATTACAACCAAAAGTGTAGTTATAAAATGTTGTGGTTTAATCTAACACTCCTTCACACGTCTCCACGTAAACCGCGTTAAATTAGATCAGAAACTTTGCGAGAGCTTTTAATTAAGTTTCGACTCACTATGTTATGTGCTTTAAGTACTTTAATTTTCTACCAAGAAGGTTATGTTTATTTAACATCTCACATACTTCAAGTTGAATACGAGTTAAACTTTTGATTTTGCAAACTGTTTTAACGTACGAAATCATTAATAATTGATATGAAGTGCATTATTATTGTGAATTAAATGTGTAATAATTGCATACTTCTATATTATGAATAGATTGGATTGGTAATCATAAAGAAACGTGTACGAAAACCAATGATTCGTCTCTTATATATTATGTTAATTTCATCCGTGTCCTAAAAAGAAATCTTAAAAAAATAAGTGAAATTTATTGGTTTGTCAGCATGCTTTAATAAAAGCACTGTTTATATGCAACACAACACACCCTGTATAGGTTTGCATTGACAGATTTCAGTAGAATACTTAAGGAGTAAAAAACAATATCATTTACCAGAATAAAAATTTGTATATACTTTGTTTTCATAGAATTTTTATATATAACTGTAGGATTACCATCAAACATAGAAACTTGGATTGTTATACTCCTAATTTTGCAAATAGTAAAAATTCCACACAAATCAGATGGTATTAAATAAATTGATAAATTGTGGAAATAAATAAATTGATGTTAAATGTAATATACTTAAGTATATACATTATAAATTATTTTTAAATTGTAAATTGTATTTTATTTGACAAGGGAGAAAGGGAAATAATGAAATATTTCATCAATGTTACGATAAAGAATAGATTAAAATCACAATTTAAACTTCAAAGGGCGCAAAGTCTTGCGATTTCTAATAACGTATATTGTCAATTGATAGTGTTTTAATTTGAATTCCAAGAAAAGCTACGCAAAAATTCATTATTAGCATGTACAAAGAGTATGCAATTATTAAAATAACCCATTTAAACCTATCTTAAAACATTTTTCATCGATAATTCTACATTTCTTGTCTACCAATTTAAACAG